TAGTCTAGATGGATTCAGAATAATACACTCTTGATAGGAGCATGCGAGTTGGCCCCAATCCATACGGATGGTTGAACGAACTTCTAGATATAATTGCCTTCTGCTGTTTTAACATTGAAACCTTACCGGAATCAACGTTGGTTCAACTGAGACACCGTTCTCTACACGCTTTAGCCCTTAGCTAACTGTTCGAGTCTCACAATAGCTCTCGTCTGAGATAACGCCAACATAATCAATATAGAATACTGAAACGTTGACTTGACCTATGAAATTGATAAATTTCACGGCCAGCCATTTGTCCGGCTTATCACCGTCTTGGAGGCAGACCATGCTTTGTCCCAGAGGGCAAGGACACGGAGCTCAATGAGCCGGCGTACCGTGGTGAGGGAGGCGAACAGGGAGGGGTCGGGGTCGCGGCGTGTAGCCGCTTTGGCTGCTTCGTCTGCAAGCTCGTTCCCGGCCGTTCCGATGTGCGCCGGTGTCCATAGGTTTAGGATCGCCAGGTGGGGACGGTATGGGAGGATGCGACGGATGAGCTCGTCGTAGCGGACGGCCCTGAACTGCCCGGAGCGGGGTTTAGTAGACAGGATGCCACGGAGTGCCACCTGCGAGTTGACCACGACCAGGATGTGGTTTTGGTGGTCCCGTAGTGCCTTCGCCGTCGCCGCCAGCAACCCCTCCATTTCCCCTTCGCACACCTGTCCATCTCCCAACGGGACTATAATCCTCTCCCTCTCCCTCCCGCCCCCAACCCGCACCGCAGATCCACCTGCCCGTCCCTCCAGTAGCGACCCGTCTGTGTACCAGGTGGCCGAGCTTCTCCTCTTATCCGCAAGGGCAACACCCAGCGCACGTAGCGCGCCATCCTTCTCGGGGATGGTAGTTGTAACTGGAAGGGGGGTTGCCCATGGTGCCGCATAGACGGGGAGGATTGGCTCCATTCCCAGGGTGGGGTCGAATGGAACCTCAGCGCGCTCCAGAGCGTCGACAACACGGGGAACCCCGCGCTGCCGAAGTCGTTGGCCACGCACTAGAACCGTTAATGGCCACGCTATGCCAGGGATGCGCTCAACGTAGTGGAAGATTGAGGCAAGCTTTGGGCTCTTGGGAGGTTTGGCGATGGCGTTGTGGACGAGGGAATGGATGCAGTGGGAGACAGGGAGGGTGAGCCAGCGCGCGATGGTCATGAGGGCATCGCGTTCAATACGGAGTAGAGCCGGGAGCAGTGCCGCTTCCTTTTCCAGAGCCGCAAGGGACGCAGTGCGGAAGCTGCCCGTGATGCAGCGTGCAAGTGACCTGTTAAGTCTCTCGAGGGGTTTCAGGGCGGACGAGGGAAGAGGGAGGAAGCAGATGATGCCGTAGTCGGCGCGAGGGAGAATCACCGTGCGTACCAGGTCTCGTACTAGCTGCGGTTTCAGGCCCCACGACGAGTGCATGATGGCAATCGATGCGTTGAGTGCCCTGGCTCCCGACGTGGCTCGATACTCGACGTGTGCACGACCTGAAAGGGAGCGGTCAAGAACGATGCCCACCCACTTGACGGTCTCAGACGGCAAGATGGTCTTCCCTCCGAAACGCACCGAGACCTTGGAGTAGTCCTTCCTGCCCAGGTGCATATGGGTCAGCTCCGTCTTCTCTTCCTCAAACTCCGCATCGTCCTCTGCCTCCCATGTCTTTGCCACATCCCCCGCCAGCTCCAGACGCTTCACGTTCTCTAGGATGGACCGACTCGCCGTCGAGAAGTTGACGTCATCAATGAAACCTCCCTTCCAAGAGGCACCCACCGCAACTACACCCGTGCACAGGGATGCAAGACGGCGGAGGAGGCGGTTGATGCAGACGAGAAAGAGGATCACCGAGAGCGCTGAGCCCTGCGGCGCTCCCCTCCCCGTGCACCTGAAGGTAACGGAGCGCTTCCCGTCGATGACAATTGTCACCCTGTGCCCATTGAGAAAGGCTAGCACCCACGCGATGGTCGAGCGAGAGAAACCACATGCCGCCAGCTCCTCCGCGACCACCCTGTGGCTGATGCTGTTGAACACGCCTTTAAGGTCGAAGAAGAGGGTGGACACAATCATCCCTTCGTCCATCTGCGCCCGTGCACGGTGGATGAACGCGCTCGCTGCCTGCTGTGTGCTGCGTCCTGGCCTACCTCCGAACTGCGACTCCTGCAACAGGCCTCGCGACTCCGCTTCGAAGGTGATTCAGTTCGCCATGAGGCGTTCGAGGGGCTTGGCAAGAACCTCGGCATGCTGCTCGACCGGGCGGTAGGCCTTAGGGCTTGTCTTGTCTTTTTTTTGCGGGCTTGTGCGTCGGGATCGCGTTGGATGACTTGAGACGGTGGGGGTAGAGGCCGAGGCGGACCGAGGACATGAATATGGCACGTACCCAGGGCGCGATCACTGGCCATGCCCGTCGCACGAATCCCATCTGGAGCCCATGGGAATCGGGAGCCTTCCACTCGCCGCCGGACCAGATTACAGCGTCCACCTCTGCGCTCGTCACCTCCTCCTGCACCCGTGAAATGAACATAACCGAGGTGTGGATGGCTTGAACACCAAATGGAACCAGTTTTTTGAGTTTAAGGTCATAAAGAAGGGGTCGAGGATGAGAAAGGCTCGGTGGTGGATGGTCCACACCTGCAATACCTCAGAGATCTGAAGAATTGTTTGTAGGAGAGCGTGTTCGGCTCATGCCCGCCCCATATGTTGGAACATTGCATTTTTTTCTGTCGCTAAATTTCTGAGCAACCCAACTGTCACACCCTCCTCTCATCTTGGAAATTTCAACCATCGTTCCAACTATACTCCCTACGTCACTGAACAAGCTTGAAAATGCATTCAGTCTCAAGTTTCTATACAGATAGGTGCTTGGCGGTGGATGGATGGTCCACAACTCCATTCATTGACATGGCACCCGAGGTTTCCAGCGGAGAGCTCGTTCGATTCGGGCCCGAGCCATAACGGGGTGGTGAGTTCGCTTTTTCTTCAGCAAAATCGACTCAACACCCACCGCCCAAAACACATTTTCTCCTTGATTTTTTGCAACAATGATCCGTTGGACATGAGCACAGTGCATACCCAATGTTGCGAATGACTTGAACAGGAGCTCGTGGCAGGTCAGTCCTTTTGAGAGTAGTTGTGGACTGCTTGATGCAGAAGGCCCAACAAAATTACCGCCCTGTGCCCTGGCTGGTGCCATAATAGCCTTCTCGATAGCACCTTGTCATTAACAACGTGTCGAGGCATGGGCGCAGACTTTGATGTTGGGTTAGCTTAAGTGAGATGTGATCGACGCCAAAAAAACGGGTTATCATTTATAATATTAAACCACAGTAACGCCCCCGAATATCATGCGACATCGACCTAAATGCAGGATCCACTTCCACGGGTGGACCAGCCAATATCGCACTTTGGAGGTGTGGGTCCATGCAGATGTACAGTGCGGTAAATACGATAACAATGTCGGACAGTGCTCCCCTCGACCATGCGCGGGAAATTTGTATTTGGGTGGACCACCGTCACGAGAGCCAGACGGTGGACTTCTTCAATCAATGCAATGAGACCCATGCCGGCACATACAATAAGAGACTCACGGATATCCATTCGCACCGCATTGTCGTTACCCTCCGATGAAATTCGCGACCCGCTGACCTCACCGTACTGGCGGTGGTTGAGGTTGTAAAAAAAAAGTCAAGAGGTACGGGGCCCAATAAAGTAGCAGCACACCGTCGGTACTGCAGACGGTCAGCGATGCGCCGACAGTCATAGGAATCGCACCATTGCTGTCGTTCTTGATGATATGTGAAATGAGGGTGACGATAGAGACTACGCTTGTTGTGGACTGAGTTTGGATTGTCTGAATAATGAGTCGCTGAATCAGACTGCGGAAATCAGAGTCAGGCCATACATACTAGTAGTACATGTTGCTTACTTTTGGGTCCCTTTGAAAGCCGTCTTCGATGTAAGTAACTTCTAAATGAGAGCGCCCAGCGTTAGAGATATCTTTGCCAATGTCTCAGCATAAAATGTAGAGGAGTTCGTGACATTTTACCAGCAGAGGCCGAAGAAATCCACCACATGAGTGCCGACGTCTTGGCTTTATCTCGCTAAAATGCACGTTAGTCCATCTGCTGCTTCAGGATCGTGCTATAGATGCTCTCGAGCAGGAGAGCTGGGAGGCGGTGAGCTCGCCTTCTTATCCGATGGAGACTGGGTCAGCGGGAGGGGGGTGCGTCAGGAGGTGAGGAGGACGCGTCTTGGTTTTCAGCAAGGGGTGAGGAGGACGCGTCCGAGACGAGCACACCGCGTAAAAACGGAGTCTCCTCATCCCCGTCTTCTGCGAGATTCGTGTTCGCGTCCATGTCCTGCGCGTCTTCCTTTAGTACACGCCACACACACTTTCCCAAAAAAACACACCTTCATCTCTCCATCGTCTTCAGGCGCAGGCGAACTCGCAGCCGTGCTCGCAGGCACGGACGAGAAATCCGACCACAGGCGCGCCGGGGTGGGCATCGGTGAGGACGGCGCAGACGACGCAAAGGGTGTTCCGATGCCCAGCGACGTGGGGGAGGTTGACATGGTGGCGAAGCTCTAAGTTGAAGTACCAAGCCTTTGTGTCTTTTACTCTAGTCTTTACTGTAGTAATCCGACCAAGTGTTCACAATCTTTGGAATTTTCTCTCACCGAGATGGCCGACAAATTTCCTTTTGAATTATCGTGTTTTTTAAGCACATCAAAAAAAAATTGGGGGTCACCGTCACCTGAACACTTGGTCGGATTACTACAGTGCAAGTGGCAAAGAAAAACAAGAAAAGAAGAGATTTGTCAGCTGATCAGGACGCGCCTGGCCACTGCACTGCCATGCCACAAAGGCGGTGTCTGACGTGATTTTGGGAGCCCCTGTCTCACTTCAGGGTTGTCGTTCGGTTTCGGGTTTCGGGTTTCGGGTTTCGGGTTTCGGGTTTCGGGTTTAATGCTTTAGCTAACATCGTTAATAATGGTTCGATGGCAGAGTGGTAGTGCATCCGCGTCTTTTATGCTGCAAGTCAAACGGTTTCTGCGGAGGTCGCCTGTTCGAACCAGGCTCGAGCCATGCATAATCCCCTATGTTTTGCATCGGTCTGCAAACACTTTTTGTTCGGTTTAAATTTTCTTCCCTCCCATATCATGCCGCTTGATGCCTACAGCTGCATCCATTCACTAATGCGTTATTCTGTTGATTGAATTCATTCTCTCCCGGAATAACACTTCTCCCCTTATTGCTTCATATTCCCATGTCACTGTCTTTCTTCATCGCGGCTCGGTGGCAGAGTGGTAATGCGTTCGCTGCTTTTAGAGGTATACGAAGATTGCTTCTGCGGAGATTGCCTGTTCGAACCAGGCCCAAGCCATGAACATTTTCTGTTGTTACTTTTTGGCTTGGCACTTTTTGTATTCGGTGGGGATTTCCTTCCCTTTCTTCGGTTCCTCGATGCTCCATCCATCCCACTGGTGCCTTATTCTGTTCATTATTTGGTTCTCCCAGTAGGTAGGTAGGTACGCCGGGTTCAAGAAGTATTCCGAACGACAGCTTCGGATTCCCATGTCATTACCACCCCTTCATCACGGCTCGGTGGCAGAGTGGTAATGTGTCCGCTTCTTATTTCACTAAAACATAGTGTTTTGCAGAAGTCGCCTGTTCGAACCAGGCCCGAGCCATGCCAATGCACCTTCATTTTTTGTTTATGAGCAGGGTTATTACCCTGCTCGTCTCTACTACCCGTGGCGCAATCATACTGTATGTAACTGGCTGTCCCCAAATTGAAGTAACAATCCATGCGGCATATCGGCTATGAATGGTATTTATAGGCGCTTATTGGTGATTTGGAGTGAGCTGTGTAAAAGTATGTGAAGGAAGGCTCGGTGGTATGGTCCACACCTGCACTCCATGCCGCCATTTGAATGGTGCTGTGTAGGAGAACCCGTTCGATTCGAGCCCGAGCCATGTAAGTCAATGTTGCGAACTTTTTGGTCCAAACACAAATGACGATTCATGCAACCATGGCCACCAACACCGTAAGTTATTTCAACGAACCCTGTGAAGGAATTGAACCAGCTCAAAAATCCTCGATATTTCCTGCATACATTCAAGCCGTTAAGTAGGATGAGAAAGGCTCTGTGGCGGATGGTCCACACCTGCAATGCATGATGTGGCTCGGACTATTATTTGTAGGAGAGCCCGTTCGACTCGGGCCCGAGCCATGGTGTAGAAATTCTATTTTTCTTTCCCCTTTCTGTGTGGTAACTACTGCATTCTGACCTTGCAAGTTGGTGCGTTCATTTTTGCCCGAGCTCACCTGGGACCGCTCAAGACTCCGCACAAGCTCGACAGCAACGAAGTCATTTTTAGTTTAAATTTATTTGCATACATTCAAGCTGAAAAGTCGGTTGAGAAGGCTCGGTGGTGGATGGTCCACACCTGTAATACATGCGAAGGAACACCACGATTTGTAGGAGAGCTCGTTTGATTCGGGCCCGAGCCATATAGCGGAAAGTCTCATTTTTTTGGGGGGCGCTCTCTCAATTTCTGATGTGTGAACTGAGCAATTATTGCAGCTGTCAATAAGGTACTATCTCCTCAGAATTTCAACCATGCATGGCAGCAACTTTACTTCTTACCGAACCAGTTTGAGGATTTGGGACTGATTCCACAATTGGCATTTGCCAAGCATATTTGAGGACACAAGCTGAAAGATGTGGGCTCGATTGGATGGTCCACACCTGCAATCTATGATTGATTTCAAATGGTTTGTGGGAGAACCCGTTCGACTCGGGCCCGAGCCATGTACATGCAAATCAAATTTGCGAACTTTTCGGTTCAAACACAAATGATGATGCAACCCATGGCCACCAACACGGCAAGTTAATTCAACGAACCCTATGAATGGCTTGAACTAGCTCAATAATCTGATATTTCCTGCATACATTCAAGCCGATAAGGAGGATCAAGGCTCGGTGGTGGATGGTCCACACCTGCAATACATGATCTGGCTCGGACTATTATTTGTAGGAGAGCCCGTTCGATTCGGGCCTGAGCCATGAGTTGGAAACACTTCGATTTTTTTGTTCTCCCTCAATTTCTGATGTATGAGATGAGCAATCCAACCATATCTTCGAAATTTCAACCAAGGATAGAACTTACTTCATAGCACCCGCTTAGACCTGATCCAACCCATGGTATATTCAAACATATTTGAGCTCATAAGTGGAAAGATACTGGCTCGGTGGTGGATGGACCACACCTACAATACATGACTGGTGTGCAAAACTGTCTGTAGGAATAGCCCGTTCGACTCGGGCCCGAGCCATATTTTGGAATGTTTCAATTTTGGTTCTCTCTCTGAATTTCTGATCGGTGAAATGGGCAATCCAACTGTCAAGATTTTCAACCCAAGGAGCAGCTCGTTGGTCGTGAATTTTGCGACTGATTCAGGCAACATACCATCTCATAAATCAAGATAACAAGTAGAGGAATATCGGCTCGGCGGTGGATGGGATGGTCCACACCTGTAATACATGTCATGTCAGGTGAACATAATTGTTTGTAGGAGTGCCCGTTCGCTTCGGGCCCGAGCCATGACGACGTGGGTTGCGGATTTTTTGGTTCTGAAACACAAGTGATGCTGCAACCCATGGCCACCAACACCGTTATTTCAAGGACAACTATGAAGGAATTGAACCAGTTCAAAAATCCTCGATATTTCCTGCACAAGTTACATTCAAGCTGATACGGAGGTGGATGAAGGCTCGGTGGTGGATGGTCCATACCTGTAAAACATGAACGACCGGGATGCATATATACAGGGGAGCCCGTTCGATTCGGGCCCGAGCCAGAAGTTGGAAACGATTCTTTTTGGTTTTGTTTTCCCTCTCAATTTCTGATGTATGAGAGGAGCGATGCAACTGTACTCACATCTTAGAAATTTACGTGGCTCAAAACTTTACTTTCCGCTGAAACAGGTCGAGGATTTTGGAACCGATTATTCAAAACCTGATATTTGTCAAACATATTTGAGGGCACAAGTTAGAGGGATATCGGCTCGGTGGTGGATGGTCCACGCCTGCACTGTGTTCATTTTCAAGTCTGCCATTTCTGGAGGAGTAGCCTGTTCGACTCGGGCCCGAGCCATGACGACGTGGGTTGCGGATTTTTTTGGTTCTGAAACACAAATGACGCTGCAACCCATGGCCACCAACACCGTAAGTTATTTCAAGGACACCCGTGAAGGAATTAAACCAGTTCAAAAATCCTCGGTGGTGGGTGGTCCATACCTGTAATACATATGAACACTGAAGGAGGACCAGAATTTGTAGGAAAGCTCGTTCGATTCGGGCCTGACCCATATGGCGGAAACGATTTGTTTTTTTTTTCGTTCTCCCTCAATTTCTAATGTATGAGATGAGCAATGCAACTGTCACTCGTATCTTCAAAATTTCAACCATGGTTACACCTTACTTTGGTTGTTGCCGAACCAGGTCGTGGATTTTGGGACTAGTACAACAGATATATTTGAGGACATAAGTGGACAGATATCCGCTCGGTGGTGGATGGTCTACACCTGCAACACATAAGGGAATTTGAATGATTGTCTGTAGGAATAGCCCGTTCGACTCGGGCCCGAGCCATGTGCAGAAAGGGTTGAATTTTTTCCTCTCTCAATTACTGTCACTCGTATCTTCAAAATTTCAACCATGGCAGCAACTTTACTTCTTACCGAACCAGTTCGAGGAATTTGGGACTGATTTCACACTTGGGATGTTTCAAATACTTATATTCGCGGCCACAAGACATCGGCTCGGTGGTCGATGGTCCACGCGTGCACTCCATGCGGTGAAGGGCAAACTGTGAGCAGGACAAGCTCGTTCGACTCGGGCCCGAGGCCATGACCGGGGAGGGGGATTCACTTTTTCATCACCAAAATCGACTCAACACCCACTGGCCGAAGCACACTTTTTCTTTGATTTTCGCAGCAATGATCCTGGAGACATGGACACAACCAAGATGATTGTGGATGACTTGAATAACCAGTTTTTTGAGTTCGAATTTCTTCGCATACATTCAAGGGGAATGAGGATAAGAAAGGCTCGGGGGGGGGGGGGGGGATTTATTATACTCGCGTGGTCCACAGGCTGAATAACGAGTTTACGGAAGACATACAAGTAGTACTGTAGCGGGTGGTTATCCTCACAGAATTCTACAAGATGCCGACCGAGCACAACATCATTCCAGGGGTTCGATCGCACAAGACGCTGGCAAACTGCAGACTGGCCGGCTGTTTGAATGGCGGGACCTCTAGTTAAAACCCTGTGGGACCTGACCACAAGCAGAGTGCGCAAGTGTACGAAAGGGGTTCCCCCCTCCCAGGTATAAATCCCCAGTGTCCACCAGTCCACTGAAGGCTGTCGTACGTCTTCCCTTTGCAGATGCATGCAAACCACCTGTCTCCAAAGAAACAGACCCACGGATTTTTGGGCGAGTTGTCCATCAACCGACGACCCGGAAGCACAAACACAACAAAAACAGCTGCCTTCAGCTGGTGGAAATCCTTCGAGTCTCGATGGTGGCCATGATGGAGTCCAAGGTGGCCAATCGCTCCGGTGGTATCCGTGGGCTAATCGCTCCGTCAGGCAAGTCTGTCCAGGTTCCATGATGGCCAACCGCTCAATTGGTATCCGCGAGTCCAAAGGTTCAAAAACAACAAGAAAAAAGCAGCTGGCTCCAGCGGACTCCAGGGTCGAAATCCTCCCGAAGATGGCCATGATCGAATCCAAGGTGGCCGGTCGCTCCGGTGGTATCCGTGGGCTAAGTGTAAAGGTTGGAGTCCGGAGCATGGCCTTGTCTGAGCGCTGCCGCTAGCGAATCGCCAAGCCAATTCCATCCGGAGATAGTCGGAAATCACGGAATTGGGCCGGATGGTCCGTGCGCACCAAAACGCCAGCGCATCGAATGTTGTCCGTCGCTAAGGCTGACCAGCATCGCGCCTGCCCCGGTAAGTACGTTGAGTCGGTCCAAAAGGCCAGTGGAATCCATTTAGAGGCCAGAGGTAGGGTCCGCCGTCATCCCGGTCCAATAATAGGCCAATGATGCAGGTAAGATTCCGCAAGAAGCGCCACAACGTAAAACGGGACATTGTCTTCCTGAGGCAGGGAATGGCCAATCCACGCCAAGACACATCACGCATCAACACCCCAGATGGTACTTTGGTCCAAGGATCCACAAATGGCCAGGTTTTGAAGACTTCCAAAAGGTGACATAGTGGTTCTGGCCAACGCATCTCGGTGGTGGAAGGTCCACACCCACAATGCATCATGGGTTGGAGAATTGTTTGTAGGAGAGCCCGTTCGACTCAGGCCCGCCCCATATGTTGGAACATTGCATTTTTTTTCTGTCGCTAAATTTCTGAGCAACCCAACTGTCACGCCCTCTCACATTGAAAATTTCAACCATCGCTCCAAGTAAACTCCGTACGTTGCTGAAAGAGCTTGAAGATGCTTACAGTCTCAGGTTTCTATACAGATAGGTGCTTGGCGGGTGGATGAATGGTCCACACTGCATTCATTGACATGGGACCCGAGATTTCCAGCGGAGAGCTCGTTCGATTCGGGCCCGAGCCATAACCGGGGTGATGAGTTCGCTTTTTAATCAGCAAAATCGACTCAACACCCACCGGCCAAAACACATTTTCTTGATTTTTTGCAGCAATGATCCGTGGGACATGAGCACAGTGCACACCCAATGTTGCGAATGACTTGAACGGGAGCTCGTGGCAGGTTAGTCCTTCTAAGAGTAGTTGTAGACTGCTTGATACAGAAGGTCCAGCGAAATTACCGCCCTGTGCCCTGGCTGGTGCCATAATTGGCTTCTCGATAGCGCCTCGTCGTTAACGTGTCGAGGCGTGGGCGCAGACTTTGATGTTGGGTTAGCTTAAGTGAGATATGATCGACGCCAAAAAACGGGTTATCATTTATAATATTAAACCACATTACAGCCGATGTCAGTACCGAAGGCGCGGATCGAAAATTTACTGTTTTGGGATGTTTCCAAAGAATTCCCTATATCTCTGTCAGTTCTTCACCGATTCACATAAAAACTAAATAGATCTACTCAGCTAATTCATGCACAATTAGTGATAGAGAGGAATATGTGAAAATATCATGCATTAGGTAATTTCTGTTTTGGGGCTGTTTTTGCACTGAATACTGTCTAGCATGGCCAGAACATGTCCCAGTGACCTAGAATTTTGGGAGAGACAACATGCATACCTGACAAAACACGTGATAGAGCCAGAAGTGAGGATAATTTAGTTACAGTCCTTCTAGCTCCAGTGAAACATTTGGCAGTTTGTGGCTTTCAGAGATATTGCCAAGATCACATTCATCTGGACATTTCATATAGTTCTGGCTCTCTCACTTGTTTTATAACATATACACATTGTCCCTCCCAAAATTCTAGGTCACTGGGAAATGTTCTCACCATGCTAGATGGTATTCAGTGCAAAAACAGCTCCAAAACAGAAATTACCTAATACATAATATTTTCGCAAGTTCCTCTCTATCACTGATTGTGCATGAATTAGCTGAGTAGATCTATTTAGTTTTTATGTGAATCGGTGAAGAACTGACAGAGATATAGGGAATTCTTTGGAAACATCCCAAAACAGAAATTTTCGATCCGCGCCCTCAGTACTGACATCGGCTGTAACGCCCCCGAATATCGTGCGACATCGACCTAGATGCAGGATCCACTTCCACGGGTGGACCAGCCAACATGGGCCTTTGGAGGTGTGGGTCCATGCACATGTACAGCGCGGTAGATACGGCAACGATGTCGTACAGTGCTCACCTCGACCATGTGCGGGAAATTTGTATTTGGGTGGTCCACCGTCACGAGAGCCGGACGGTGGACTTCTTCAATCTATGCAATGAGACCCATACCGGTACAGACAATAAGACTCACGGATATACATTCGCACTGCATTGTTGTTACCCTCCGATGAAATTCGCGACCCGCTGACCTCACCGTACTGGCGGCGGTTGAGGTTGTAAAAAAAAGTGTCAAAAGGTACAGGGCCCAATAAAGTAGCAGCACACCGTCGGTACTGCGCACGGTGAGCGATACGCCGACAGTCAAGAAACTAGGAATCGCACCATTCCTGTCGTTCTTGATGATATATGAAATGAGGGTGACGATAGAGACAACGCTTGTTGTGGACTGAGTTTGGATTGTCTGAATAATGAGTCGCTGAATCAGACTGCGGAAATCAGAGCCAGGCCATACATACTAGTAGTACATGTTGCTTACTTTTGAGTTCCATTGAAAGCCGTTGATAGGGCGTGCTCCCGGGCACGCGTAAAAACCGCAGTTTTTATTCATTTTTGAACTATCTTACGGGACTATGTGAGGCTTGGGAACAGAGCGTACACTCACCTTGGAGTGGTAGGCTACGCTGTTGACAGTCGAAAGTCAGCGGGCCACTCGGAATAACAGCTTAACAATGACTCTAACCAAGTCAAAGTTCTGCTAATTAAACCACAACCGTTGAGCTCTGGGAAGTAGCTAAACACTACTTCTTTGAGTACTAGAAGCGAACAAGAGGAATTATTGAAGTCTTAGAGTTGGCCGCTGACGCGGAGAACCATACAGAACTATGGAACACAACCGATACTGATAAGTACGAGTCAGCGGGCGACTCTTGCATCCTAACGAATGCATTAGTTCAACCGCGGGAGACGACTACTAACTAAAGATATGATATGACAGAACATGTCAGAGTCAGCGGGCGATCCTCTTAAAGGGTATATTGACCGGATGAGGATCGCCGGGCGACGTCTG